ACGCGCGCACGAGAACGAGCGCAATGGGCCACAGTGGAGATGTTGTTTTTTACGCATCTGTTATTGTTGTTGTTATTCTTGTTCGCCTTTCACGTGATGTAGGTCGTCGATGGTGCTTCTTCTTTACTGCGTGTATAGCATGCTCGAAGTATGAATGATGTTCAACGCACTCATGCACATATATATATATATACACACTAGTGTTCTTCTTTCCTTTTCTTTCTTTTTTTCCTCTTTTCTTTTCAGTTTGAACAGTTGTTCTATGTGGTTGGCAAACGAGCACGATGAATGGAAGAAGAGAGAGAGACAGAGAGCACGTACGATCGGCCGGCAGATTGAACGTAGGAAAGGAAGAGAGAGAGAGAGAGCCAACCCGTTATTTGTTCTTTTTTGACATTCTTCTCCTCCTCCCATGATGTATGTACGTGAACGAGATGTAGTGAACGTGTCGCATGTGAACGCACTTTGGCTTGTTTGGCGTCAACAAAGACGAGAGAAAAAACAAAAAAAATCAACAAAAGAATCTTATCTTTTGTGTTAAACTTCTATATTTATTTCAGATGGAATAATAACAAATGTACAGGACCAATACGAATGAAAAACAATACAAAAAAAGCCAAGTCGGCTGCATCAGTTATAAACGCTACTACACAACAACAACAATTATCTATTAATAATAATTGGCAATCCCATTCTGATAATAGTAGTATGTGTTAGGTTTTTTTTTAGTTTAGTTTCGTTTTTCGATATTTCTATTTATTGATATGTATATAAATTAGTTTTTTAGTAAATAATGAGATGGAGAGTGGAACATTACCACCGCCAACAATGTTATTACATTCGAATGAATCGATTCAACACCTATCATCATCTGATTCACCAATGAATCCATATTCTGATTTATTTTCTTCAAGACAATCAATACCAATAAATAATAAAACAAATAAACGAAAAATTGATGAACTTGTTGATCCATCATCAACTGATTTTGATTCATCATCTTTAAAACCACAAAAAATTGAACAAGTTGATTCAGAACGATCACTTAGTAGAACAGGAACTCGTAAGAAACCTTTTTTGTTGTTGTTGTTGTTATTTTCAAAAGAAGAATGCATTATATACATACTTATTTTTATTTCTTTTAGCTCTATCAAATGGTCCTCTACCGCAACAATCCTCTTCAACTCCGTCTCGGAATGGCAATGACAATGGCTCATCATATGATTTCGGTCCGCCAAGTAATAATAATAATACCGGTAGTACTACACCAAATCCGTCATTACTTACACAACAAACACCACCACCACCATCTTTACAACAACAGCAACAACAAATTCTACATTCACAACCACCAGTATCATCTTATATGTCAATGTCACCACGCAATCAATATATAATTACCAGTGATAGTCCATTTTTACAGGCAAATAATCAAGTGTTTGTATTTACAACACAATTAGCTAATGAAGCAGCTGAAGCTGTATTAAAAAATGAATGTCCAAATATAATTGAATATCATAAATCATTACCTTCAACTGCTCAATATCTAGCTGTAAATAAAAAAATAGCTTTTTTTGTTCTTTTTCGAAAAAAATATTTATAAATTATTTTGTTTGTTATTTAGTCTCTTTCAAATAATATGAACAATAGTCATAATTCATTACTTGGTGGTCCAATGCATATGAATCATGGTCTACCACCACCACCACCACCAGGATGTCATTCGCCTCGTACTATGCAAATGATGATGGGTGGACCAGTACCTCATAATCCACATTTACCACATCATAATGGTAATGGTGGTCCACCACCCAATTGGTCGCATCCACATTTTCATCCACATCAACAACAACCACCATTTGGTCGTTTAACGCCCGGTCCTGGTGGTTTACCACCACCAAGCCATCTATTACCACCTGGTGCACTTATAATGAATGGTCAGCCACCATCAGATGGTATTGAAAATTTAACACCTGAACGTGCAAAACATCGAAAAAATCAATTAAATAAAATAGAAGATTTAAAAACAAAAATTACAGGTGGACGAAATCGTGGTAGAGGTAAAGCAAATGCTGCAGCTAATGCCGCTGCAGCAGCAGCAGCTGCTGCGGGTAATATGCCATCATCGATTAATGGTGGTCCATTACCACCAGGTGCACTTGATCCACATCAACAACAAATGATGATGATGAACAGTCCACATGGTGTTGGTCCACCACATCATATGATGGGTATTGGACCACCACCACCACATATGTTACATCCAGGTATGCGAGGACCCGATGGAATGATGCTTGATATGAATGGTCCACCGCCACCACCACCACATGGGTATATGAATGGACCAATGCCACCTAATTTTCATGGACAATATGGACCAGGACCAGGTGATCCATATGGACAATTACCACCTCCACCACATCAACAATCACAGGCTGTTAGAGATTGGACTAAAATGCAAATGGAACATATTGAAGGAAAAGTACAACAAATGCGTGGACAACCACCACCATATTCTTCAGCATCACCATCATCATTAACACCTCCTATCGCTACAACATCAACAGGAGGTGGCTTAGGACCTAATGGTAAATTGCTTTCACCGAAAATGGAACCATCAACAACACCACGTCTATATAAAGTTGGTCAGCCAGAAAAATTTATTCCTGATTCATTACCATCATCAGCGAATAAAAAAATAACTGGTAATGTAGGTGAAGTACAACTAACAGCATCACCAACACAAATGGATTATAATGAATTAGGTAAATCAATTGAATTAATTTACTTTTCTTTTTTCTTTTTCTATAAATATTTAATTCTTTCTTTATTAGGTATGGAAGGTGAAGAATTAATTATTACTAGACATTTAAATCGAGCTTATCGAGCAGCAAATGGAATTAATAATGGTCCTCCATTACCATCATCATCGTCATCATCATGTAAAGATGAACCAATGACACCAATAACACGTTCAAATTCAACACCAAATACAAATACAAATTCATTATCATCTGGACAACAACAACAACAGTCAGTCGGTTCAACAACACCTACGCATCTTTCACAACAAGGATCATCATCACATCTTACATCACAAAATGTATCAGCTGCATCACCACGTCCAGCTAAATTAACTGCAAATAGTAGTTTATCATCACCATTAATGCTTTCAAATAATACTTCATTAACTAAAGATGAACCATTAGATATGCATAATGGTCCAAAAACACCAACATCAAATATGGCACCACCATTAAGTAGTATGTTACAAATGACAAATAATTTACAATCAGCTAATTCACCATATAATTCGTCGAATAATACTGGTTCAAAATCATCATTATCATCGAATTTAACTAGTAATGGACCATCATTAACTAATCCAAATATACCACATATGTCAAAATCAATGGATCACTTGCCATCACCATCTCATATGTCTTTACCACCACATCAACAACATATGCAATTTCAAGTGCGAATATTTAGATTAACTAAAATAAACATATATATGTTTTTCTTTTTAAAATTTTTTCTTTTAGAATATGAATCCACATCATCGAATGTTAGGTCCACCAGAATCAATGTCACCACATTATAATCCACATCATGGTGGAAATTTACCACCACCACCGCCACATCCACATATGTATAAAATGATGCCTCCACATCATACACTGGATCCATCAGGAATGATGCTTTCACATCCAGGTGGTCCACCACGTTCATCAAAAGGTTTACCACCACCATCATCTGATCCAATGCAACAACATCATCATTTAGCACCACCACCACATTATATGAAAATGCATAATATGGATCCATTATTAGGTCCACCACCTGGTCACCAACAACAACATATGCGTTTTGTACCTATGATGGACGATAGTTTTTGTATGGGACCACCACCACCATCACATCATCCACATCATCCACATATGCATCCACATATGCATCCACATCCACAAATGCATCATCATCCAATGCATCCGAATGATGGTCGACCACCACCGCCACCACCACAATCAATTAATAATACATATGTATCAACAACAATGTCTATACAACAATTAAATATTCAAAGTGTAGGTCCTGGTGGACCACCACCTGAGCTTCAACCAGGTACAATTCATTATCATGCATCATCAGCTAGTGGTCCTGATTCACAACAGCAACAACAACAACAAGGTCTATCAGGATCAAATGGTAATAGTACAATGTTTTCTTCTCAACAACAACAATTTGCAACAATGAATGCAATGTCAACAAATGATCCAACATTTGCATCACAATTTAATGATCTACAATTACCACCATCAAATCTTAGTGTAGACGGTGGACAACCACCTTCTTATTGGTGATTCTTAAATCAAAGAAAGAAGAAGAATAAAAGTTTTCAAAATAAAATGTATCTCACGTTGTTTGTGAGACATCTTTCATTATTATTTATCTCCTATTTTCTAATCTGAACCTGTGTACAGACAAAGAATCTCTTTTTTTTCTTTACTACTTTTGTTTGTCTACGGGCATCTTCTTTTGTCTTTTTTTTTTCGACTAATTGTATTTTTCTCTTCGTTTTTTTTTCTGTTGTTGTTATTGATGTTGTTCTCTATTTTTTTTCTCTCTCTCTCGTACATTAACATTCACGCATGCACACACAATGTTGCGCTTATTTGTTGAATTTTTTTTATTGTCGTCGTCATCTATACGGGTGTTACCATCAACAGAATAACCGTCTCTCTCTCTCTACTGTCTCTTTTCTTTCTTTCTTTTTTTTTTTGTTCTTTGTTCTTTCTCCATTCGTTTTTTTCTCTTCTTTTGCTATGTGTGTGTGACATGAAAAAATTTAAAATCAAAAAATAGAATTTATACAATAATGCGATGACAAAAAAGAAAAAAATCAAAAATGTCTCTATGTCATTTTTAGATTTTAAAATTATTTATTTATTAAAGAAACGAAAACAATAATAATAATAATAATAATAATAAGATAAAGTATGTCAACCAATAAACAAGGTATGGATACACATGGTAATTCAAAATTACCAGCTAAAGCAGCTATAGAAGGTACACTTGCACCAGAAAAAGAAGTTGTTGTTGAACATATGACAACAAAACATGTGATTACAACAAGCAATTTAAATGGAATGAATTCACATGGTGATACTGTTATTCCAGAAAAAGCAGCTGAAGCTAATCTTGATCGTCATTTACATGGCTTACATCCACAATCGTCTAAATAATAAAAAATAATCAGGACAGCAACATTCTCTTATTGACATGAACAAACAGGCACTTATATTTTCATTTTTTTTTTCGGTTGTTTGTTATATTCAATTTATATACGGTTTTTTTTACATTAGTTACCAGCAGCAAATCAGACGCTTAACAATGCCTTAATCTTTTGTTTTTTGGTGTTTTTTTTCGATAATACCTGTGTGCAAACATAGAAATGTTTGTTTTTTGTGTGGTGAAACTGTATAAATTGAATGAAGCTTTTTTTTTTGTTTATTTAAAAATCAAGCTATATTATTTATATATACATTTGTTAATAGAATTAACTTTATTCTCTCGGGACTGAGCATAATATATAAGTAAAAACGATTTCCCATTGAGCAATATTGATGAACTTCTTGAAAGCTGTACAAACAATATGTTTGCAATATGGAATTGGAAAAATTTTATTTACATACAATAAACTGTCAATTGAAACAAACAACGTTTCAAGTGTGTCAATCATAATCACATCTCAATAATAGAAGTAAAAAATAAACTCACAAATAAAAACAAATAATAAAAATTTTGTTCAAACATATATTATTTTACACATTGATTTAATATGTATCTATATCTCTCGATATATATAGATATATATATTATAATTACATTAAAATATTTCAGATTCTGTTTTGATGACCTTGTCAAATACGACAAGGATGACCACCGAAACTGAATTGATTTTTTCACCTGAGCGTACATCAAATAACTCATTTCATGTATTTTCAAGCAAAAAAGTAGATCAGATATTTTGTTTTTGTTCGGCTTATTTATTTTTTGTTTTTTCTCTTATATTTATCGTAGGCAAGTCGTCGTAGTACAACATTAAATAAACCACCAAAACCTGTTTCATGTCGTGTTTTTCGATATTTTACACCAGCTACTGCTTCTAGAGCATCCAATGCTGTTTCAGTCAGTACAGATTCATATGGTGTTGGTATGTTTTTTTTTTTTTTATTATTTAAAATATATTTTCTTTCTGCAATAAAATATTTTTAGCATTGGAAAGTCCATTTTATACAAAATCAGATACATCTACTTATTGGGATCAATGTTTTGAACATCTTGAATGTCTCGGGCGTGGTTCATTTGCTGAAGTAAGAGAGATACACGTTTGAATTCCTTGAATATCTTGTTTTTATTATATTTTAAGGTCTACAAAGTTCGTCATAAAGAAGATAATCAATTATATGCTATTAAACGTTCATTAACTAAATTCCGGGGCAAATCTGATCGGTAAAAAATTTTTCTCCCAGAGCATTTCCTCTCGTCTTTTCGAAGTTTCTGGTAAACAGCACATCAGAAAATTTGAAATTTTCAGAGCAAGTAGATTCTGATGAGTACAGCAAACGTTGTCATAGACCCAAAGTTTTCGGAAGCTATTTTTTATGAGATATTGAAATCATAGTGCATGCCTCTTATTTCTCATTGTTTAGGGTAGATATCTTTTCGTTCTTTGTTTAGGAAAAACGCATGTTTTTGGAAAGAAAAAGAAAATATTCATTCTAAACAGTGTGTAGTACATGTGGAAAAAGTTTCAACTTGAGCAGATATGTAGTGACACAGAAACAAGAGTATTTTTTAGTTTCTTTTGTTTTTGATGAAAAATTTCATTTAAGAAACAACGCTAGTTGCTATTTTCGTTACAGAAAGTTGATTTTTTATCAAAATATACTCAGTAGATAGACTATAGAAATTTTGTCTTCGGAAAAGGAAACGGAGTATCGTTAAAATAGATTTTTCGTTCATCTTATTGAAATTTATGCTTTTTTTTAAAATATAGTGATCAAAAATTAAAAGAAGTTCGTTTTCATGAAACACTTGCAACACATAGAAATATTCTTAAAATAATTCGTGCATGGGAAGAACGTGAACGTTTATATATTCAAACAGAACTTTGTGAAAGCAAGTAAGTAAAAACAAAATTTAATTTAAATACTAATTATGGTTTTTATTTTTTTTGCAGTTTATTGGAATATTCATCAGAAAATCCAATGACACAATCAATGACTTGGCATTTTCTGTATCAAATTAGTCAAGTATGAAAAAAAAAAACAAAGAATTAATTTTTGTTTTTCTATGAAGTATTTTAATTGAAGGCTCTTGATTTTCTTCATTCTTTATATTGTGTTCATATGGATGTAAGTTTAAAATATAGGAAGCCAAGTACATAATTAAGTTGTCTTTTTCTTTTTTCTATTAAAGGTTAAACCAGAAAATATTTTAATTACATATAATGGTATTCTTAAACTTTGTGATTTTGGTATTGTACATGATTTACGAAGTGTAAGAATATCAACAAAACATCTTTTTCTTTTTTTTTTAATAAAAAGTAAACTTCATCAATTGTTTAATTTAGGCATCAACTTTAGCACAAGATGGTGATGCACGTTATCTTGCATTTGAAGTTCTTTCAGGTACAATATCAACAGCAGCTGATGTATTTAGTTTAGGTATGGCAGCACTTGAATTAGTTAGTGATTATGATATGCCTGTAACGGGTGATCTTTGGACAAATATACGTGAATTAAGTTTACCAACAGAAATTGTATCAGGTATAGAATTATTTATTTATCTAGTTGAATTAATTTTTTTGTTTTTGTTATAGCTTTAACTGATATTGAATTAAAACAACTGTTACTGCGAATGATACATAGTGATTATAAAATACGACCATCAGCAAAAGATATTCTTGATAGTCCAACGATACGTGATCAAGTAGATAGAAGAAAAATACATATATAAATATTTATTCGTAGTTTTTTTTCTACATTATGTAGATTTGTCATATGCCATCACCATTCGCATTTAATCAACATCGACATGAACATGTATAATATTAAAATAGAATTATATATAAAATAAAATTTTGTTTCTAATTTATTTATGACAGGGTATTCCATCAACTGGTGGAAATGATTCTCCTGCTAGTCATGGTTGTCGTACACCTATAAAAAAACCTAAACGACCACCGAATTATTGTGGTTATCATGATGAACATTCAGATGGTAGGTATAAAAATTTTTTTTTAATCTTTATAAAGTGTTTAGATCGTTTTATTTTATAGATGAACTTCGATCTCATTCTCTTCATAATATATCTCGATTGTAAGTATAAAGATTTGTTAATGATTCAAAGATGGTAAAATGAAATTTGTTTAAAAGTTTTATTCAGTAGAGAACTATAGTTGGATTTCAAATCGATATGTGCTAGTTCCAGTCCGACTGATGAAAAAGCTATTTCGACTGAAACTCACAGTTTAAATTTATAATAGGTTCAAAAGAAAGTTTCGTCAAAAGTAACAAAAATTTAAAAGAGTTTTGTCTCCATGGTTCGGCAACAATCGTTTTACTGAAATTTCAGCTCCTTTTTTAGGTATCTATTGACAATAGTCAAAAAATGAAATTTTACTCATGTATAGGTCTAATATTCTTTAGAATCTCCTACAAGTTTCAGTCGAAAAGAATGTTCTTGTGTCTCGAAATATAGAATTTCCAAAAAATTGCCGCTTGCTACAAACATATCCTAAAAATTGAGTTCACTTGAAAATTTAATACATCAACAAAAGAATAATTTTTTTCGGCTGAAATTGTCAGGACATTCTAAAAGTGATTGGATTTACCCTTTTGGGAGAAATTTCATGTTCAAAATTCTATTTTTTGATTTTTTAAGTAAACATCCAAAAAAATGTTTTGAAAATTAATTATGATAGCCATAACTCGACTCAAAATGTCTGTAGTAATATGAATAATATACTGAACTAAGACTGACACATATATATAATTTCAAACTAGTCACAAATCTCTGAATAAAGATTTTATGTTGTCTAATTAAGATAAATTGATCTACACTATTTTTTTTCCATGACTTCCTATATGATTTCAATTGTCAATGTATAAAATTAAATTCAGTATGAAAAATGAAAAAAAAACTCATTCATTAAAGTTAAATTCAATAAAATTTTCCCTTTTCAATCTAGAACGAATTCAGATTAATTTATATCTGTAAAATGATAAGTTAAATATTAATGTTCTTTATTATTTATTCGTAAGAATATATTAGATATCTTTCATTTATTATTATTTGATAAAAAAATTCTTTTTCTTTTTTGTTCTCTTTATAGAACACCACCACCTGTTGTTGGTGATCCACTTCGAGTTCGTCTTTTTCCTACTGAATCAGATGAAGAAATGAATGTTGACCATATTTATTTGTACGTTCTTATTATCTTTTGTTTCATGTTTTTATTTATCATTTATTTTTCGTATTTAGTCGAAAATCTCCACTTCAATTTAAATTTGACAGTAGTGGTACTGAAGATTAGATTTAAACAAAAAAACAATAAGCAAAAATTTTTTTTTCTCCGGTGTTCTTTTTCTATGTAAATGATTAATTAACATATGTCAGATCAAAACTTACAGTTAAAATTTTTTTTTTGCTACTCTTTATTTTTCTCGTATTCTTATTGTTACTGTTCATTGATGAAAAACAAAAAAGAATTTACAATAACAAGAGAGATGTCAGATATATATATATGTTTTGATTGTCTTCTATCACAAATCTTTATCAACCGATGATCTTCTTTCTATGTGCATGTGTCTATCTGCTTTTATTTATAATTATTATTACTATTATTGTGAATAAGTACTGTGTATAGGTTGAACAAAAAACATAATAGATCTCGTATCTTTTTTTCTTTCTTCTCTCTCTTGTTCTTTATTTATTATTATTATTTTTTTTTTTGTTGTTCTTACTGTTCGTATTGAATATGTGTGTGAGTGTATGTTTAATTTGTTCATCTTCTATCTTGAAAGTGTGTTTGTACAAAAAAATTATTCTAGATATATATATAAATGTATGCAACACACAAAATCAGAAAAAAGATAAATAGATTTTTTTTTTTATTTGTAGATGTTAGAATGAGACAATTAATAAAATCATTTGGTTGGTATTTATATGGAGGTGTAACATGTTATTGTATGCAACGATTTTTGATGGATTTTCTTTATATAAAAAATGATGAAAATGAATTATTTAAATCAGGTGATATTATTATTTTGGATATATGGAATCGATTAAAAATAGATAGGTATTATTTAATAAAAAATAACATAATTTTTATTAATTCTTCCAAAATTTTATAAGAAAATTGATTATGTTGTCAAAACTGTAGAGTAATTGAATAAATAATTCTCGGAGAAAACAATATATCTATTAATAGTTTCGTACTATTTGCATGTTATGTAGTGTATGTGTAAACAAAGATTAATATCAAACTTCTTTTGATAATAATTCTGAAAAAAAGTTTTATTCATATTAAATTCTCTAACGTATCAATCTATTCGTTTTCTTCTTTTTTTTTATCTTTGATAGATCAAGTAATTACAAAAAAAAATCATGTGTTTTCATAAAATTTTCTAATTTGGTCGAGTTATTGCAATTTCACTTTCAGTCTAATTATATATTTAATAATCGAAAGTTCAAATAAAACTTAAATCATGTGTTTTTTTTTTATAAGAAAACGAATGAATGTAAATTGATATGAAGATTTTGTTGGCTTCCTCGTCATAGACCTTGACTATAGAATCGAACAAACATACAAGGGTCATTGAGTTTGTTCTTCATAGTAAACAAGCATCGGAATAGTTTTCCATAAGTCTTTAGTAACGGAAAAAAGGCGCTGAACGGCATTAACAATAAACTTTTTCCGATTATAAAACATTCTAAAGTTATCCTTGAAAACTTAATTGACTTTCATTGTTCGAATTAACAAACTTTTTAATATTTTGTTTTTCGAAGATAAACAATTATATGAAAGATATCAATTATGATGGTTACTGATCGATTGATTTATTACAGTTGTCATATGATGCATACAAAAACATGAAATGATTAAGTTCTCGCTTTCGAAGATAATCAATATTTGTTTTCTCAGTCTAATCTGATACATATAATAGCTCGTTATAATGAATATGTACAATAACAAAAACAAAAGAATAAATAACAAGACAAATAGAACTAGTAGTAGCAATCAAGAAAAGAAATTTCTATTAGAAACGTAGAAATAAATTAATGAAAGCGTTCTCTGACGACCGATCATCATCAAAACGTAACTATTATCGTTTAGAAATTTTTCTTATTGTATAGTTTATGTTAGTATAATGAAACAAATTGAAGAGTTCAATATTTTTATCCTAAGAGAATTCACTAATAATTTTTTTTTTTTTATAAAGAAAACGAAAATTTCATTAATTCTATTTGTTTTGATATTTCCGACTAGAATTTTTTTTGTTCTCTATGGTATCAAAAAAACAAAAACAAAACGCCAGGTCTTTACATGATTATCTAGAAATCTATGAAAGAAAATTAATTTCAATTATTATTAGACAATTGAAATCGATCATTACATTGTATTTATTTTGTTTAGTATAGAAATAATTTAATTTGTGCTAAATCACTTGATAATCATCAACAGATCATATTTGGTCGTGTTATAGCTTTTCAAGATGAAACTATAAATAGTCAATCAATAAATTCTAGAAGAAAATTTATTCAAGTAAATCTTTTCTTTTTTTCGTTTATAAATTTTCGATTATTTATCTCATCTATAATTTCATTATAGATTCCTAAAGGAAGTATTGCTATTAAACGATTAACAAATGATAATAATCATCAAGAAATAATAATTCTACCAATTGGTTTAATTCAAGGACGTACATTAGCACGAGTAAATAATACAGAAAAAAAAAATAATATAACAACAAATGTTGAAATAATTTTGTAAATTTTTATTTAGATTTGGCCATTAAAACGTTCAACTCTTCATCTTCTTAATATGCCAACAACATTAGATAATTAATTTGATTTAAATTCATTCATCTAATATCTATCTTAACAATTGTTTGTCATTGTTTTTTTTTTTTTTGCTTCTTTTTTTCTGTTTTTTTGTTGGAAAATAAAACACCAAACAAAGCAAAGAATAAAACGAATTTTACAGTTAAGGTTATAAGCTCTTATAAAAACAAATTTGAGCTGAACAAAATACATTGAATACATGTATATAAGAATGATAAAATTATATACAAATTAAAATAAAATGTCTCTCTTATTTTCTCGCTTGTTTTTTTGGTCTGCAGTGTGTATGTTATACACCGGAATTTACAAAAATTTAAAGAAACAAATAATACTTTGTTTATTTACTTTAATTAATCATATTCTTCTGGTATAACTAATTTTCGTTCTTTATTAACACGACTACCAAGACATTCTTGAAAAAATTGACGTTGAAAATGAAAATAATCATCATGTAAAGTTGGATTTTTTTCAAAATCATGATCAGCATCAGGATAAACCTTTTTAAAAGAATAACAAAGAAAAAAATTTTTTTTTTTTTTTTTCTAAATAAAATTTGAGCTTTTTCTTTTTACTTTGAATTGAAAATTGGCACCTGTTTCAATAAATGTTTTAGCTAATGTTGCTGAATGCTTAAAGTGAACATCCTCTGAAACAAAAAAAAAAGAATTGTGATTTTTTTGTTTTAAATTTCTAAAGAAATATTTTTCTTTTTTTTTGTGTTTATTTTACCATCAGCTGTTCCATGAACAATAGCTAGACTTTTATTTCGAATATTATATCGATGAGACTGAAAAGAAAATAGAAAAAAAAAAGAACATTTAATCAAAATTTCTTTTATTTCTTACTGATTTAGATGGCTTTTCTAATCCATTGATACGTTCAGTATAAACAGCATCTTGAAAATTGAATTAAATTATTAATACAAAATAAATAGAAATTTTCAAGTCTTACGATAATGAGATAAATCATGAACAGGTGATTCAAGAAATGCACAAATATATTCATCTTTTCCAGAATTCGATTTTTCAAGTAATTTTAATGCTATAACTGCAGCAGGACCCTAAAACATCAACTAGTATTTTTAGAAGAAAAAACTTTTTCTTTTTTCTGTTGATTGCAAATAAAAATTCATTAGATTTCGTCTAGATAAATACTAATTTTTCAACAAAAATTCTTTTTGTTAATTATCCACAAACAATTTTCCTTTTGTAAAAAAGTTTTCTTGTCACTAATGAAAAAAAAAAAGAAAAAGAACAAAACTTACTCTTGCTTTAAGTCCAAATCGTGTTGCATTTAATGTTTCATTAAATTTCTTTTCATTTTCTTTAAGATGTCTAAATAAATTCATATAAATTAAAAATACTTTTTGTTTTTCCTCTCTTTTATACTTTGCAACTTTCATATAATCGTCATATTGACTTTGGAACCAATTCGATTCAGTAATTTTTAAATAATTTTCATCTTGTCCAGTACTACCATGGGCATCAAATAATACAATACTTATATTATCTTGTGTAACATGAGCAAATCTAAATAAATAAAAATTTATTATTATTTTTTTTTTTCTTACCAATATTCTTTCTTTACATACTCTGCTAATGGTAAAACAAATTTTTTAGTAACTCTTTGATCATATAATTGATCATTTCTAAAGAAAAATCCGAAAAAAAAACAAACTTTATGTTAATTAATTCTAAACTCATACATTGATACAATAACAGGATATGATGCAATTGTAACATTTGAATTATAACCTGGTGGTAAAATAATCATTCCATGACCAACTATAAAAGTTTACAAAATACAAAAGAATTTTATTTGAATTGATGATTTTATTTTTTATAATTTTTCTTACCTGTATTTTTTTTATCTAATGGTACTGAAAAATAATCTACATAAGGCATTAATCGCTTATCAATCCATTCTCGAAATGGAGCATTATCATTAATTAAAACTAGAAAAATAAAATTTCAAATATAATAAAAGAAAAAAAAAAACAAATAAATATTTACTAAGTTTGTTCGTGCGATTATATAATGTTGAATAAGGAATTTTTGGTCCATAACATTCAAGTATATAATAACTACCATTTCCACGACTAAATTTTGCATTAGCATAACCACATGATTCATTATCATTATGACATGATAAACATTCGGCATCAATTTGTTCATTCGTATAATTCCATCTTAATTTAGTCAATAAAAAAAACAAAATTTTTTTTTTTAAAATCATTTAGTTTTTCTTACCGATAAACTTGTCGTTCTATTGTATTATTTTGACGTGAAGCAGTAAAATATATTTGTTTAAAATTATCAACATAAATTATTTCATCGACACATAGATCTGATGATAATGTTGCATCAATTTGTGGATGCTTAAAAGAAATACTTAAGTTTTAGTTTTAACTAATGAAGAAATGTTTGTAAGTGATGAATCACTTTCGAACTGAGATGATATTCAATCAATAGAATCTAGTACATAGACAAATACCTTGGAGTAGTTCGAGATAATGAGTCTTTATTAGTGAGATTTCAAATTTTTAGTTGATTTTGATTAGAGTAATTTATAGAGAAAACTTCAGAATTTTTCAATCAAGTATTTCCAAGATATGAATCTTTCAAAATAGTCATACTTTTTACAATAATCATGACAAAACATCTCTATTGATATTTCACAGAGACTTGATGAAAAACTTCAGACATCTTTTTCTGCAAACTAGTCTAATCTGTGCCTTTATGTAGATTGATTTTTCAATTAAAATTCAAAAAGTATAATTTCAGTGCAACAAAGATCTAACAACTCAAATTAATATAGAATATTCAAGTATTTATTAGATTTCATCAATTGAATATAATTTCAGCTTTAAATCGATTTTATCACTTAGAAGTTTTTCTTCATAAGACAATTTGCAACATACTGTTTGATTAAAATGTATTCGAACAATATATGGATAAGCTTTTTGTGTTATTTTGTCAAAATTTAATGGATCAAATCGTATAATAAAACCATATGTACCCATGGGTGAAAAAAATGGTTTAAGAAAACGTGTTAATAAAGCACCTTTTCGCGTTTCTTCAATATAACGTGTTTTAAATATTATTTTATCATTATCAGTATTTATTGTTTGAATGTCATATAATTGTATTATACTGGAATTTTGTGCACGATTACCATAAACAATTGATAAACATGTATCACAATACCAAACAACATGGTAAATATATAAATCAGATTTTCTAAAAATAGAAACATAGACATGAGAAAAAAAAACAAAAACGTTTCTTTTGTTTTCTTTTTCTTTTTTACAATTTTTCATATTCGTTTGGACGTGGTACGCGTATAGTTTTTCCTGATCGAACATTATAGATGTAAACATCAAGTAATGGAAGTGTATCACCAGCTTTTGGATATGGGATTGAATATCGATCATTATTATCTGTTGATAAATCGTATTTAAGAAAATTAGCTTTTGGAACATCTTGTAAATCTATTTTAATAAATGCCAAATAACGATCATTTGGTGACCAAAATAATAGAACATTTTGATTGAAAATTTCATCTAAGAATATAAGTAATAAAATGATTGAATTCAACTATATGTTTTATTTTCTACGATTACAATTCTTATGAAATGAAATTTTGATGATAATCTTATTTATTGTAAACTTTTACAATTATTTCTGTACTCTTCTTGTTAATTATTACTTTTAAAAATTATATAAGAACGACTACAATAACAGAATAAATCTTTGATTTAATTGTATAGTTTAGATTTCCATTCTAAAGATATATTTTGTTATTTACTAGTTGTCTTCTAGCATCTGATTGATAAAGAAATTTTTAAAAATCATGAATTGAATGTGATTTGAAACTATGTACATTATATAGATTGTAATAAGTGATGAATATCTTGAAAAGAGCTGGAATCCTTAGCTTATTACCAAGATTATTGACTAGAAGAAAGGCTTTCTCGCTCCCAAAGAGTCTGGTTTCCTATTACTTTTTCTATTTTTACAACTTCGTGGTAGCTTTGGACAGAAACCAGATTTTGAAACATAATTTGTTTAGCTTTGACAGAAGAGTAAAGAAAAATAAAAAGACAATGCTGTTATAAAGTGACTAGGATTGAAACAGCCCCCAGGGAAAACATGACCTGGTGGCAGGTCGTCTTCTATATGGATCGATCAGGTCACAATAGATTTCGTTCTTCCATGATAAACTTACTCATTACTGCTAGAATACTGCATTTTTAACGATACTTTTTTAATAGAGCGTTGTGGTATGTGTCGATAGAATTGATTTTAGAATTTTGACTTGAAACTTTACATAGAGACAGATCTTAATAGACATAGTTTATTATGAAAGCTTCAAGTCATGCGATTTGCTTCTGTCGTAATACGAGAAGATGGAATTGGTTGATATATATGAGCCATGTAAAAAGCACACTTTTATTGTTTCTGTGTGTTAGGAAAAGGAAAAACAAAAAAAAAGGCTTTGAAACCTTTTCACAAGAAGTTATTTTCATTAAGTCTATCTTCATGTAAATTTTCAATTGAAAATCTGAAAACTAATTTTCCTTAGAAGAACCACAAGTATAGATTTAAAAACTATTTTAAAGTACAGTATCTTCGCAGTTAAAACCTAAGAACTCGAACTCTTCTGAAGATATGCATAGCTCATTTGGGGTCTGTATGATGCATATAGTTGTGACTCAAAAGCAAACAATTAGTTGAAGGATTTCCGTGTGAGTTGAACATCGATAAAATATATCCTATGATTTGTTTCATTTAGATAAAAACTATTGTTTTTATAGAAAGAGATAAGCTTTCAAGTGTTTCTTTCTTTTTTTTTTATAGATAACAATCTTTAATCAACTGTATATTATAGAAAACTAAAACTCACATAAGTTCTATATTGTTATAAATAATAAAGAACATTATATTACAAACTTTCTAACAGAAAATTTTAATTATTCAGATTAAATATGAAAAATGAAAATATTTCATAAAGTTCGTTTTAATAAAATATTACAAAATTAAGTGAATTATCTCTTATGAAATAAAACTTTTAATATATTTCGTTCAATATGATTTTTTTTCTCAATAAACATCATATTCAAATATTTAGACAAAATGTCAATCAAGATTATCGATGATTGACATATTATTGTATTACATCATTGTAAAAAGAAATTGTCTTTTTCTCTACTAACAAGACAAGTCTTACATTCATAAACCCATTCAATAAGACCATTATGAACTTTTTCTCGATTTCCATCCAATGTTACTCTACTACTTGTTGCTCGTGCAATATCATATACATAAACATCAAAATTATGAATAAAAGCCTAGATAATGATAAATAATTAGATTTTTATTTATTAAAATATAAGAAACTTACAAAATAATTATCCGAATTCGAATATAAAACAGCTGATAAAGGTACCAATTGACCATCGGAAAGTCCTATTGGTGCAATTTTTTTCGATTTTTCATATAAAACATAATAATACTCAGTATAATACCGATGCTTCTAATTATTAACAAAAAAAGAACAAAAATAATAAAATTTCAATAGAAAACATTTATTTGCTGTTTTTTTTTTATCTTGTTTTCACCTTTTCTTCTCTTTTTGGTACAAGAATATAACGCGCTGATGGTGAAACAATACCTTCACCAATACTTTCTTGTTGTATAACATTTCTTTTAAATAATAATTCTTCTTGTAATGTATCACAGTTATAAATCCAAATTGAATCATTTGTATCCATAAAAGAAAAATATGTATCCGATATCCATGTACCATTCCATCTAATTTAATTATGATATATATATCAATTATTGAGTGACAAAACAAACTTACGGTTTAGGTATTTTAATATTAAATATATCTTGTTCACTTAATGGAATAGGTGAATGTGGAGATGAAGTTTGACCTATTGAAGTATTGTTTGTTCTTTTTTTTCTTCATTTATATTAAATAGATTCTTTGAAACTTACGAGTTCTTGTTACAAAAATAGCAGCGGCAATAAATAAACAAACGATAGCAATGACAATAAATGCAATGCTTAAAGCTTTCCAATTTTGTTTTTTACTGGTACCACCAACCAATTCCTTTAAGAATGAAAGAATAAAAAAATGAATAAAATCATTGATTTAATAAATTTTATTGAAGTGCTCTTAGTGATGTATGTATATGTAAATTCTAGATCCTTATGTTAATAGCTCACCACACAAAACGAACAACATTGACAAAAATTCGTATCATCTCCTTCTGTTTCGATCTGTTGGTGCTGTGATGTGAACATCAAGAATTTCTTATTGTAAGAAAATTAATAACAATAATAATACGAATAAGAAATAGCAGCAAAAAGAAGAAAACCGAGGAAAAAACAAAAAAAAAAAAAAAAGAAAATCGATTGGAACTAAAATGAATATGCAACTATCGGCGGAAGTCATTCGACAAAAGAAAAAAGCGAAGAAAATGACGTTCATTAGACTGTCTTTGAAAATGGACAGAAAATAAAAAGAAAAACCAGAAAAGCCTTATGGAAATTAATAAAAATCTGTTTCTTATCATTACTTCACAAAGGACAAAAAAGGAATGTTGTCTTATGATTATATATACATTTTCTATTTTTGATCTTGAAAATGATGATATCATGTATTGCGAAATAACAACACAAGGATAATAATAAAGTGTTGAATGACATTAGAGACGATCAAGTTCCGCTGTTCTTTTTTCCTTGATTAGTTCTGATTCGAATCTGTCAGAGTTCTAAAGAGTACTTTTATTACTGAATCGATATGGTTTTGTTTTTTGTTTCATTAATAATAATATTAATAATAGTTTTGTGACGCAACATGGGGCATCTTTATTAAGTCAACAAATATCTATCTAGTGTGATATATAATATGTATTTAATTTCTTTCTTGTTGTTTTTTTATACATTCCCTTGATATTACTATTTCAATAAACAAATAAATTATCTGGATAGAAAGTGAATTTATTAAAATTAGTCAAACAAATATAGATAAAATGAAACTCACTTTATAACGAACCACAGTAGCCATGTCTTGATAAGAATGTAAAAAATAATTTAGTATAGATATATGTGTGAATATTGAAATGATATATATATTTATGTGAGGGTGATTCCGTTTTAAAAATAAATCATAGTCGAGAGGATGCGTACATCGTCAATCGTCACCGTCGAAACGGAACGATGACGATGAAAAAAAAAAAAAAAGAAAAGAATAAGATCAAAAAAGACCATAAATAGGAAGAATAACGTCGACGGCAAAAACCAACATTAGAAAGACATGTAGATGCTTTTCTCACTTGTTTTGTCTCTTACTCGTCATAATATTCATGCAAACCATCGGCATCTCATCCCTGACATGCGTGATGTTGTCACTTTTTTTCTCTTCCTATTCTTCCTTTCTTAGGCGCTTTGTCGTTCGCTATATTAGAATCCTAACTATAGTCAATTTTTCCTTCTTTCTTGTGTTTTTTTATTGCACACATATAGATCGAGACTGATGGTTCTCAGTCGTGTGTTGCACTGATGATAGGGAAGATGGAAAGATGGAAAGAGACGAGGGAGAGAGAAAACGAAAGATACACAACGTCGTTAGACGAGTGCTACTAGTACGTCATCGAAGATGGTTGAATATAAAATGCTTGGCTCGTCTTGATTTGACTTGTATTCAACTAGCAGCTGCTGACGATTCTTAGCACTGATGAGAGAAGAGAAAAAGAGGAAGGGGATCAGAATAAGACAACTTATTGGAAGTGGCGCATAAAAAAAGAAACGGTTTTAGCTATTTTCCTTTCTCTCAAGTTGTCAAACAAAAAAAGAAGTTTCCAAGACTTTTTTCCGCCAGATGTTCTGTGATCGATGAGCTCACATTTGATAGACATCACCACTCTGGCATTCAAATGCTTCCTCAAGTTTCCTTTGCTAGTTGTTCGAGTGTTAAAATAAAAAGAGAGGATCAGAATAATAGTCAAAATCAAAAGAAAAGAAAACGAGAAAAAGGTCGATATAATTGGTCTTGTTTATTTCACAAGTTCATTCTGCATGCCTATTAGTCTTCTTCTTTAAATATCTTACCGAAATAAGTAATTGCAAAAGGAAAAAATATTGAAGAAAAAAAAAAAAAAAAGAAGTTAATTGTCTACTTGTTATTAGCCATATTGATGGGTTTCGTGTTCTCGATGTCGCAAGCATAAGTACAGCTAAGATGAAAACCAAATAGTTTCATGCAGTCAGTATTGAAAAGACTTATCAAAGGAGAAATATATTGTGAGAAAAAATTTATTTGACTTGATTCGTTTTTTTTTTATGTAAAAAAATATTTTTTTGTAAAGAAAAAAAAACTATTTTATTATTATATAATTAGATTCGATTCGAAGAAATTTTCTCTTTTTAAATGACTTTCTTTTACCTGCATATATTTTACTGATCGATACTGTCGAAAATGATGAATAATACTAATCATTGTTTCATTTCAATACTTTGAATCTATCATTATTCAAAGTAAACATTTTATTCCAAAGGAAAAAAAAACTTTCGATAAAGTGAACTTCAACATAAAACCATTTAACACTTATTTAAATATCAATATATTTTTTTCTATTTTATTTCTTTTCTTTTTCTTTTTTTTTAATGATTAGTTATGGGAATGCATTAGAATTTTAAAATAATGTCAAACAACGCATGATAAAAATCTATTCTTTTTTTTTTTGTCGAAGATTAAAAACAATTCTAATTTTTATTGACTTACCGTCATTAGACATAAACCAAATAAAAATTCACGTATACAACTAGGCATTATGACATATATATATATACATATATACGTATATTTTATTTTCACTAGTGAGACAAAATTTGTTATTATTTCAATGTAATATAATATGATATATTAATCTTTCTAAAAGTTCTTGTCAATGTGAACAAGTGTGAAGATTGATAGGATAAAAAGCGAAAAATATATTAGTGACGTTTATATTCATAAAACACACTAACACTCATATAGAGAGAAAAAACTATATTATATCAATTGTATGATGCAAATTTTTCTAATCAAACAAGTGTTATTTTAATAGTTGAAAACAAAAAAATGATTTATGATTCTCTATCTATATGTATGTTTTATTTCACTTCCATTTACTTTTAAAAAAAAAGTATTTTCTCATTTATTTTTTATTTTTTGTCATCTATTGAACATCCGGCATAAAATGTCCATTTAGAAGAAATCACACAGATTAGTTAACATAAAAATTCTATTTCGATGTTTATAGAAAAAAGTTAACATTTCTATCCAATTATTTGTGCGTTCCTTTTTTCTTTTACAGAGTAAATATATACAAAAAATAAAATAAAATCTAGAAGGCCATTTTCCTTTTCTTGTTTTTCTAAAATGCTTAATACAATCGGTTTTGTTCTATTCAAAAAAATGTTCGTTGAAACATAGTAATAATGAAAACAGGTAATAGCATAATCAGATTGACAAAATACAATCAAGCCAAACAAAACAAAAAAAAAGAATAATTAATAATCAGGCACTATTTTTTTTCTTAATAATCAAGTTTTTCAAAAACATGATTTACTAGTTGACTATAGATAAAAATAGTTAATCCATTCAGTTGAAATATTCAAAATAAGATTTTGTCTTTTTCGTTAATGATTAATTGTTGAGGTATCATTTAAAATAATCTATTTATGATATAAATAAATAAATAATGATAAAATCGAATCACTTTTTTCTTTTCTTAATGTGAGTAATTTATTATTATTTTCTTTTCTACAATTAAACAGATGACTTCTTAAGGAAACACTTTTCCCCGTACTTTGTCTTTTCTTCTACTAAACAATGAGGTTTTTTTCTTTTTACGCTGAGAACTTATTTTTCAAGTGTTGATGATGACGGTTAGACAATGAAAAGTTGAAGTTGGTAACTAGAATTGTTTAAATTCTTAATGTCATATATTATAATCGAAACTATTGCTTCTGACATTATACACCATTTCCGATATTTAAAAAACTCGTATAGTTTAAGATTTTTTCTTTCTTATTGTTTGCGTCTCAATCTAACGACATCTTTGGATGATATGATTTTCAAAAGGACACAGATCAATAAATAGCTATAGAAATACGCTAGAGTTATGTTCATTCTTAATCGATCTTAATTACTATTTGCTTGACTTTGCCTTTCTGAATATTGGAATAGTATATTATTTGATCTACTGTACATTAGCAAATCTGGGTTAATATGAACAGTTCAATTTGTAAAGAATCATATGAATTATTTTCTGTCACGAAGATATTCTACCTAGATAAACATCATCAATCAATCAAGCTAACATATATATCATAAATGTACAAGCAATAAACTATTATTTACGTTCTTCTAGTTTCTTCTACAACTCATTAGACTAACTCATTATCTCATATAAAAAAGGACACCTAAAACTAGTAGATATTATTTGTATTGGATCTTTTTATTGTATTTTTAACAATGCATGATTATCGTTTAAACAAAAAAGGTTTAGAACATTGAGTTTTTTTTGTATGTAGTTTAACATAATAATTGTTATCATTATAATGTTTATATCTATATAAAGCGAAAGTTTCAAGCAACATGTTTGAGTATATTTCAATGTTGTTGATACATATTTATTAGAGATTATACGAGAATATGTTGATCTTTTCTACATTTGATTGATATAAAATCATTACGCCATGAAAAAGCATATTACGAGGCCAAGTCTACCAATGTCAATGAAGTTATTCTTTTTGTCTGTATGTTGACCTTAGTGAGACTTGTAAAATACTGAAAAAACAAGGATGCTGAGATTTTTCTTTTCAAGCTATGAATGCTTTAATGAGTTTTCCACATGTAAGAATGATATTCATGAAGATATCTAATGGTTGAATTTCGATCAACATGAATCCGTTGTTTGTGAGAAATTGACATTTTAAAAATTACTCATAGTTTATAAGACAGTCAGAAAAATTGAATTTTTCTTGAGGTTCCAGAATTCGAACAGAAAATATTTCTATTGTTTAGAATTTTTAAAACCTTCTAAGGGTGAGTCAATGGATATACGAACAAAGTTTTAAATTGAAATTCGATGTCTCTATTAGTACTGTGCACATTTGCTGAAAACCTCATGAAAACAGTTATTGCTTCAGAAAGAAAGATCAAGGACCTTTGCTCTATCAGTTTTTTACTAGTTACACTAAAAGCCTACTAATGGATGATACAAAAAAAAAGCAATCTCAATGTGCATTGGTCAATTGAAAACCTTCTCTCATTAGTAAGAGAAATATTTAATCAAAGTAATTGTATTTTTGAAAATGTTTCTATTCAAACATTTTTAATAATAAAATCTTCAAGATTTTTTGTTTTCCGATATAAAGATTCCGATAAAAACAATACCAAAAGCAAGCTGATCTATTTCTTCCGCATGATGATCTTTCATTAATAACATCTGCTGGAAATACTCTCGCATTCTTTGTTTATTATCTTATGTATTGTATAGACATCAAGTCAAGCAGACTATTCATGGAGGTAATGCTTATCTTTGCCATCCTGAACAGCTGTCTATATGTTAACATCAATCATTCTAATGGAGACAAACACTAAAAACATATCTCCATTGATTTAGTTCGATTAAAATAGACAAACGACAAAATTTGACATATTCAATACTTATCTTAAAGATCATAAAATATTTTGCTTCATAGAGTAACTAATAGTATTTTCAATCGTTTGTAGATCATTAAGAAATATATCGTTTATAGAAGCATTGAAAGATATATATCAAAACTTTCTATTTGTTGACAGAAAGATTATATCAACGAGTATTTTACCGTACTTAATTGAATTATTTATTTTCTTCATCTATTATCAACAAAACTAGATGTTTTTTCTAGCCTTTTATCAGTTTTTTTTAATGTATGTAGGAAAAAATACATGGAAACTAAAAATAATCTTTTCTGGATAATACTAACAGACATCATATACATGTATATATATATATATATATGTTCTCAATCAAATATTGATCACAACTTATTATCAGAAGTCTTTTACTATAACAAATATTTGAAAACCTAATCATCTTAGTCGCTTATCCACTTAATCTACTTCTAACTTTCATATGAATTTAAATGAAGACATGAAAGGACATTTATTCTTTGCATGCATACTAGAAAAGAACTTTAATCATACAAACAAGAATGTATTCTTGTAGCATGTTATTTACTTCTGACAAACATATCTTGTTTGCTGTGTCATCCTATAATAATAATAATCCTTTTCCTTATTATTATTAACATCAAACTTTCATATGTTTTTTATGAATTATAAAATTCTACATAAAAGATTCTATCATGTTTTATTTTCATACATGATTACTTTTTAAAAATTTCGATAAATTAGTTACATTTTTACATCCGAATACTCCCAATGTGATTTTCAATCCGAGATACAAATCAGTGAATATAAAGAGTAATTGGTTGTAGTCCCTAATGAAATCTTTGTCATCATGCTCTAAAGATTATCTAAATGAATCATGATATTCAAAGAGAAAAGAAAAATGCCTATCTCAATAAAACATTAAATAAGAGAAAGGAAGGTTTATATCGAAATAAGTAATTTGTCGGAAGTGCATTTCGATCAATTCATGTTCTGTTAAATTAACCATTTAATTTACAATTCCAAATTCTGCCAAGAGGAAAACATGTAAAAAAAGAATGTTCTATTTTTTTCTATATGCTCCCTTGCTGAACATAGAATTAGTGCCGACAACTGAAAACATGCACACACACACACATACACGCACTAGACTTTAATCAGTTATGCCAAAAAAAAATGAACAGAGATTTATGAACAAACATGCAAATCGTTAGTTTAAATTGAGAAGAAAGCCTATCATTGTTTATAGTTTTTCAGACAAACTATTACCTTTTCAGCCATAGCATTATTCTTCTCATTCATCATATTGTCGTTGTCTATTGAATATTATTTTTGATAGACACAGAAAAAAATATAATAATCGTGGATAATAATAATAATAATGGTAGTAATAATAATCTTGACAATGTTCGAAGGAATAAAGAAAAATAAAAAAAAAAACAGGCCAAAAACTATTGTATTGAGCGAAAGAAAAGGCAAAGCATGTAGTGTTAATCAGTTCAACATCGTCTTGTTTATCTGTCGTCGTAGTTGTTGTTACTGTTGTTCTTGTCAGTCTGACGAAAAGTACAGTTGGTCTTAACAAACTATTTACAGTATCGGCACTATAGAAAAACCCAACGACAAAAAGTAATAGAAGAAAAGAAGAAATGACATTCGCTCGGGAAAAATCGATATCATCATAGCCCAAACAAACATCCGTCTATGCTTGTATGGTAAAAAAAAAAGAGAGAGAGAGAGAGAAAAAACCACTCGATGCAATGCCCTTAAAGAAATATATGAACAAATAGCAAGAGATAGTAGATGAGTTTTTTTTTTTAGGAAAGCAAAAGAGCGAGAATGAGATTTTCCCCTACTCTTTCTTATTCTTTGTTCTACTATCGACGATGAGAACGAGTGACGATGATTATCATCGGAAGAAAAATCCCATCATCACAGTCACATATATGAAAAACGAGATGTCTCTTTCTCTATTTGTTAGGCTGATAGACTCTTCTTCTTTTTTCTACAACTATCTATTTGTCTCTATGTATATATATATATATGCAGCTGCTTATTTGTACTTTTTTTTTTCTCTTATATACACCGTACTTTTTTGTTTATAACCATCTTTACATACTTTATAAGTCGTGGCAGCATCCATCCATTCACTATGTTTATGATTAAATCGTCATCTATTTTGTTTTATAGTGTGTAATAATAATAACAACAAAAAACAAACTATGAAAAGAAAAGGAACATAAAGTATCACGAGGGAAATTAATAGCCATCCAGAATATAAAGTTGGCGCGTATAAATGTGAAATAAAAAAAAAACGAGAAGAAAAAAATCTGAGACTAACAAAATAAACAATGCATGCATACACACACACACACATCATTAAATATCAACAATGACATAGACATCATGTGTTGATGCTTCTTCATGTATTTGCATATTTGAATAAGTGATTGCCTTAATTTCAGTTCCTTGTGTATGTCGTGATAAATCAAATGTTTCACCATAACCACGAGCAATTATACGTAATTGATGACGATCAAATAAATTAATTTCAATTTTTCTTGCTATAAAATAATCTTCTGTACCATAAACTTCAAGCCATTCAGATAAAAATTTATATAATAAATTTTGTAAATCACCTTCGACTTGAATATCAATTTGTTTCATATCACGATTTTCAATATGATCAATATCAGTCATATATGCAAACATTCCCATAGCTACCTAAAATTCAAAATATAATATTATTAAATAAAACTAGAAATCTTCTTGTATATTATAAATAAGATGAAAAATAAAAAGATTTTAGTATGTATCATACTCATGAAAATTGTATTAGATAAGTACTTAACAAATATAAGAACTGGACTAATTATGAAATGCAAACAATTTAACATGTTCTTTCATATCAAATGAAATATTTCTTTACTAAGCATTGTTTGAAGTTATACTCTTAGTACATAAGAATTGTCAATGAGGAAATGAAATGTAAAGATGCACGGAAGTGGAAGTCCTTTAAAAGTGTTTTAGAATAAATAAAACAAAAAGAAAAGAAAAGAAAAGAACATTAAACTATTTGCCTATTATGAATATGCATTTTTCGATAATTTTAAAAACATTCTGGACAAAAGTTTTTTTTTTTCTTCATTTGCTTCAATAAATTCTTTTACATGAACTTCAAATGAAATGAGAAAAAATTTGCCTTATGAATATGAAGAATGAGAATGAAATCAATTCTGTTTGTATAAAAGAGACACTTCCTATTTAAAATATTATCACAATGAACATAAATTTCTTTTTTTTTCTTGTTCTATGAAAATAATTAATTGTGATTTCAAAGACTTTACTTATCACTTCACGAGAGAAATATCAAATAAGAAAATCTTATTCTTTTTTTACGTACGTAACTCAATTATGTATGTAGATCGACTACAAAAAAAACAACTGATGAAAACATTTTTCTATACGAATTAAATAGAAAATGACTCAAGTATCCTTGTGAAAGTGACATATGAGAAGATATTCAACAAGATCAGTTCAATTAAATCATATAGACAATTTTATTGTTCAAAAAATAATTTAAAAAATTTTCAAAGTATAATTTAAAATTTATATGAAAATACAAATTCGACTCATTGAGAACATTCTACAACGCTTTAATTTTTCTATAAATAATAAAATTTAAATGCTATCATCATTTTCTAGATCATAGACGAGAATTTCGATGCATCCTGTATGGTATATTCATTTAATATATTTTAACAGAAATAAATAGTATGATTTATGTTAATTTCAAGGAAATAAGAAAACATCATTGTAGGAACATATAATTTCGAGATTTTCAGAGAATATGATTAAAGACATTTGTGAAGAGGAAACAGCTGACATGACTATCATTTGATTTTGCCTGTTTTAGCAAGAAAACAAAGAATCAAGGCCATAAGAAAACATTACTTTTTTCTTAATTATTATAATAGATGTCATTCTCGAAATGTACAATTAGTCTTCTTTTGAAAACTAAGTTCTACTAAAAGATTTAGATTATAATAAAATACTTCTAATTCAGATTGAAAAATATTGAAGACGCTTTTTTTAAAAATATAAATCGATAAAAAATGATAAGAAATCAGCAGCTTTTTCTTGAGATCTGTACTGTTGTTAAAAGTCAACTCTCGCAAGGCAATATCAAATAATCTCGTTGGTTCTGATCCATGAAACGATCGGCATGAGAATATTTTGAAGAAATTACGACAGTGTGAACAAGATTTGCAAGAGTATCTTAAATTTTTTAAATCCGTATATCAGAAAGTGTATTAAGCTGTATTAGACACCTAATTCAATGTTTAACTCAGAGCTACACAATGCAAGAAGTATATAACGCAAAAGTCGAATGTATTTCATTTTTTCATTGATTTATATATGATTTGGAGTTAAGAAAAGTACTGATTCTATTTTATTGTTAAGAAAATTGAACATTTCCTCGTTTTAGTAGTAAACGACCAAAATTGGTGTTATTTATTACAATTTCTATAATCAAAACCCAATTGAAAAACACAATAAACAGAATATTTACAATACATGTCGAAATCTACGAAGTTTTGTTTGTGGTCGATTTTCTCGTTGAAAGAGAATTTTTTTTAAATATATATGATATAATGTAGATGTTCACGCTGATTATGAATATTCTGTTTACTAATAAAATAAGGAAATGTTTGATTTTCTCAACAATTAAACTAAACAAGTACTTTTTTAGCTTGAAATCGAATCATTCATACGAAATAAGACAGCTGGTGTTATATTCTACCATTATAAAAAGTCGATAATCTTGCAAAGTGTTGATAAACATAACTTATAAATCTACATATATTGATAGCAATTTATTGAGTTATATATTTTAAAGTTATGAAAATAATGTTTTTACTACTCAGATTTTGATACTAAAATAGAAAAAAAAACTTATTTTCAAACAGTTTAGACAAAAGATTATAGAAATTTAACAGTTGTTTTAAGCAACAAGTGTTTTGGAAACATCTATAATCTTATAAGTATTTTCTACGAAGAATGGGTAACATAATTGAAATAAAAATTATATATTCGTAGTTAACTCTTTAAGCTCTATCAGATCATACACAAATCAATGAAAAATAAAACTTACTAGACTTTTATTCTATGTACATCTTATCTAAATTACAGTTGTATCTTGAAAGAATCTAACTTTTCACACATTGTAGCTACAAGCAGGTAAATGTCCTTTAATGTTTGAAGGTTACATTTAATAGATAGCAAATTGTTAATTTTAGTTGCATCTAGCTGTTTTCGTCGATTGACATTTTGTTATCAATAATATAACTCAGACAGTAGCTGCTTTGTCTAATTATGGTCCATATGCCTACATGTTCTGTGTGCATGGTAAATCTCATCCGAATAAAAAATCATTCCATATTAGAAGATCAATGACAAGGACAATGCAAAAAACACAATAATAGGTCATAGTTCTCTCAAAAGTAGAGACCGGCGGGAACAACTTTTTTTGGTTCTCGTTCCCGTGTTCCCGCTCCCGTATTGAAAATTATTGTTCCCGTTCCCGTAACAAAAATTTCCGTTCCCGATCCCGTGTTCCCGTTCCCGTAATGCTTTGAGAATAGCTACAATGATTTCATTATTCACATTCATCAACACTACTCCTACTTGATACTAGCTTTTAGCGACATCATGTTTCTCACAATACAAGATTCCATATATTAAAAGTAAATTTCTGATTCAAGACTCATAAACCTATTGAAACTTGAAATTTCAATTGAATTCAAGTTTCAAGTTTGACATATATGTAATCTTGATGATCCCAACTTCGATGCCGACGACGACGATGGTGGTAAAGAATATCGTGATTCTCATAATCTATGTTTGAATGAACTTGTCTGATTTTGTTGACTGATATTTGTTCTCTTTTCAATTATATTTCAAATAGTTATTGGAAATCGAATACTGTAAGATTAACAGATTTTAATGCAAACAGAAATCGGACATAGGGTTTGCCGGGAACAGAAATTTTTAATACAATTCCCGTTTCCGGAGTGTCCACCAGAATTCTCGTTCCCGCATTCCCGTCCCTGGTGTCTCACGAGAATTCCTGTTCCCGATTCCCGCGGAAAACGGGACGAGAAAACATGGGAAAAATTCGTTCCCGCAGGACCCTACTCAAAAGTCGCTTTTCTGAAATCTGATGGATTGTTGGAGGCTTTTGCACTTGATGGTATGAGCCTGTCCTGTTAGTTACTAAGGCTAGGCATATTCGAGTGAAGTTAAGTCTTTCATCGTCAAACTAACACACTAAAAATATACGCTGCCGTTGTCACACAGGGATCGAGATATTCAAATTTTGAAGTATTCATAGTAAGTGTAAAACAGTCAAGATTCAAAAATTCGCAGTTTTCTTTATAATGATTATTTCACATATAAGAGAAAGTAGACTCAAAATTCTAGCTTTTGTAAAATTTTATTTGAAACATAAGTTTTATTAATACAATTCGATGAGCTTTATTCAACTATCACGAAAAAAAGAAAAAAACCTGTGAAAAAATGTAATTGCAACTATCTTACATATGCTGTAAATATCTTAAAATTCGAATAACTCGACCTCTGTACACCAAGCGCAGCCTATATTCCAAACTTTTTATTTTGGTGTTGAAAGGTTTTCATTTGAATCAAATATCTGTAGTCTTATTAACAAACAACAAAATAAAAATCTTTATTGTTAGCTCCTGAAAACACCTGTTTGAATATTAGAAAAGTTTTTCAAAAAACTCTTGGGTTTCTAGATATAAATTATCAAAAGAGTTGTCTATAGCAGAAGACCAGTTCTGAATGTCTTCAACAAAATGCTATCTCTATATTTTCTCGAATCATAAAAGTAATCGACAACTATGAAAATTGGATATTCAGGTTTCGAACATTTTAAAAAATCACAGATCATAGTGGCAAGAATCGAGACAAGAGATGTATGCGATCAAGTTTTTTGATCCTATTCTAGAGAAAATGATTCCAGAATTGATTCATATTACATCTAAAATGGTTCTATGATAGGGCTCTTTATTTATAATTTGTAAAAAATGCAGTTCTATAAATTTTCTAGTTTTTGTTTTTCAACTAACTTGTTCAAAAGATTCTTCAACAGAGTTTCCCCATGCATGAATTTGTATATCAGCAGTATTATCAAGAAATTCATATTTTATATCTGGATAATCAAAAGTAACATCTTCATTAGATGCTGATGGACCAGTCTCTTCTTCATGTTGATTTTGTTTTATATTGGAATCTTGATTTTTATTTTCACTTTTTTTTGACATAATTTTAAAATTAATTTTGTTGAAGTTTTGTATTTGTTTCAAGCTGTTTTTCAGCAAGACGTTGTTGTTCAACAAATTCAGCTTCACTTTGTCGTACGGCAAGAGCTGTTTCAAGACGTTCTTTACCTCGTCGACGAATTTCAGGTAAATATTCAGTTTTAGCCTTATATAATTGATGACAAACAGCAAGAAAAGCAACACCAGTTAAACCAATTAAAAATGATGCTGTTATTCGATGTGCTCGATTATAAATAGCTGTACGATTTTGAGTTCGAAATATACGACCTAACATTTGAAAAGATTATTTTCAAACATCTAATACTCTTCGAAATATATCAACAATCCAAAATTTATGGTAAAATTTGGATAGAAACGATTTTTATTTTATTGCTGTTGACTTTTTTCTATTTTCATTGTTTTTCAAAATTCATAATAAACTAATTGAAATATGATAATAATTGATGAAGAAAATCAATGTATAATTTCAATCAATGTTTTTATCTGTAGATGTCAGAAGAAGTATTATTATTGAGAGAAAAATGATTCATAAGATGTTGTAGGAGGTTGATTGATATTATTCAGTATTATAAAAAGATCGTTTTTCAAATATGACGACTAATACATTATTCGAAATGACACAGGTAAATGTTAATCGTATTTCTTTTTCTTCTCATATTTTGATTAATAATGTTACTCGGTTTTTAGTTGAATTCTAAAATTGATGAATTAACTCGATTAACAGAATCTGAATATGAAACAAATAAAACAGTGAATCTCTTTCAATATTTTGATAAAATCTATACATTATGTTATGGTACCTCAAATTTTCAAATATTAATTGATACATTAATTCAAAGAAAATATGCAAGTACGTATGAAAAAAAAAATTTTTTTTATTTGATTTTTTATTATATCTATTAGAACTTTGTTATCCAATATTTAAATGTATATATACGGATGTATTTAAAACTCAGGAACGGTGGCATGTTGCTTATTATTTGCTTCATTCATTATGGAATTATACGGATAAAACAAATGCAATGTGTTTCGTATGTATCGAATAAATCAAAAGGGGATATCCGCAAGTCATCAGGACTAGAAGGAACGGTTGATACGAAGATTGGTACTAAAATTGACTGAATTTGAAGGAAATCGAACGTTTTTTATGTCATTGCTTATGATTAAGGAGATCACCTTCTGGCAGGAGTTTTGTTTTTTTTATAGGAGAGGAAGTGATAGCCTGGGAGAAAGAACAACCAAAGAAAACAAGGTTGTTTGTTTTCAGAAGAAAATGGATCCCTCAGTTGTTCTTGCGGAGAACGTCTCTACCCTATCGGCAATGTTACAACCAGTAACAGTAACCAGTCGATTCAGATTTTTTGAGTTTTAGAATATTAAATCAGCTTTAATTATGTCAAGGACCATAATTATAGGAAAAACATGCATTAGAATATTGATATCAAGTGAGTATTCATCATAATACATTTTATCAAGTCATTTCGATATCAAATTATTTTATTTCGTATTATGTATACCATATCTTTCACAAAGACAAGAGATGACAACATGAATCTATTATGAGACACAGTATATCTACAGTTGATTCCAAATTTCTATATCTGAGAAGGATTTCATTATTGTACAAAGTCAATATGGAATTTTTATTCCTATGAAAATTTATGCTCATTCATCAATGCTACTTTAACTATTGTGGGGAATCCCATAGAAAATAGTGAAAGCTTTGCACTTCAGCATATCCTTGAAATATGGAATTCCCGCCTTTTCCTCTTTGAGAAAATCTTATCATTTATATAATAGACCATGACAGAAGCAAGAAATCAGCATGTAGGAATACCTATAAGATCGTTACAGACATATCGAGATCTCTGTAAATTCAAAAAACATCGACATGTTTGTCACGATCTTTGAAACAAGCTGGCGAATATGGAATTGATTTTCTCAGCATATACTTCAATACTCATTGACAATCATTTTTCACAGAATTACTATAATAGTGGGCACAAAAGCCTTGAGTAGTTTCTGTGATGATTCAGAAGTAGGTATGACTAATCGAGAGATTGCTCTGATTCTTACAAGATGAGAAATATAAAAAATGATTCATAACGGTCAGATCGGTTTAGATCGACATCGATAATGAAAAAATTCGAGCGGTTGCAATACTGCCCCGTGCCCTTCAACTCGAGACACTTCGGAAATGTCCTTGAAATAAAAAGAAATTAATTTATTCTTTTTTTGTAATTCATAGGCTGTTGTTGATGCACAATTTATTCCAATGTTTATTTCAAATTTAAATCAGGAAAATTTTATAAAGCATTTCTCTTCAAATGATGTTAGTTTCATTTAATGAATTGTTTTATGTAAGAGTAAAAATTTCCATTTTCATTTTTAGGCAATAAAAACATTATTTAAAATGATTATTTCAATTTTGCATAATATTGCACAATTACCAGAATTAATTGATGATTTAAGACGAAATCAATGTATAGAAGTATGTTGAATAATAAAAAGTTGCTGAATTTAAATTTTTTTGTTGTTGATAGGCGTTAAATCGTGTAATTCAAACAGTTGGTTCATATAGTACTTTTCATAAAGGAATATCTTATTTAACACTTGCATATATCATTCGAGAAGATGAACGTACTTATTTAACAAACTCAAATGGTATTTGAATTATTTATTTAAAAGATTTTTGTTTTATTCTCTTTGTTTTTGTTATTAATTAGAATCGATTCCTTATCTCGTTGGTCTTTTACATGAAGCAATTAATGCTGTAGATCGTCGTTCACATGGATTAGAAGCACGTGAATTATGTAAAGGTTTATCAAAATTATCTGTTGCTAATGATAATAAATATAAAGTAAAAGCAAAGCAAAAAAAAAAGTTCTTTTCTTTTGTTTTATTCTTATTATTATTTAGATTTTTTCTGAAGGAAAATTACTTGATAGTTTATTAAATATGCTTGAACAACATGGAAATAATCAAGAACAAATATGTGCTTGTACACTTATTTGGAATTTATGTTTTGATCAAAATGTTCGAAAAGTTTATATTGATCATCAAAAATTAAATCAAATTTTAACAACTATTGCACAAACATCATCAAATGATGAATTACGACGAACAGCATCCGGTTGTTTATGTACATTAATGGGTGGTCCAACAACAACAAAGAAAACTTCATCATCATCATCATCATCATCAGCAACAACAACAACAGGAAATAAAAATGTAATGATTTCATATAATCATGATGTTCAACTATTATCAAAACAAATAAAAGATCATTTAGCTGCTGATGGATATAATGTTTGGAGTAAGAATGAGAGAGAGAAAGAAAAAAATTTTAGAAAATTAATCTATATTTCATTTTTATTTAGTTGATTTGGAAAGTATGCATGGAAATATACTTGATGCTATGTCCGATGCTATTGAAAATTCAACAATTTTTCTTATATGTTTGACTGAAAAATATAAAGATTCACCAAGTTGTCGATTAGGTATGAATATTAGAAAGATATTTTAGTTTTGATTTTTGCTAAATCTAATTAATCATGAATAGTATTCTCTACTGCGAGAAAATTGCATTCGATTCATTTTATATATCATTATCAATTATTCATCAACTTTTTATAGATCAGGATTGAGATCGAGATTAAAATCAGTTGCTTCACTTTGTATGCTTCTGAATCTTCAACAAGAGTTTTAAGAACTTAATTTAGGGACTAAACCTTTTTCTTGATAGTTGAAACAATTAATACATAGAAGTGCTACATTACTTTATTATCAATTGACGTAGTTCATTTGAAAAAAAAACTGATCAGTTGATATGATACTAAGGAAAAGAATCGGTTTAGAAAACTTTGAGTTATTATAGTTCATGAAGTAATTTTATTGTGTAACAATTTTTCGAAAAAAGTTTTGCTATTTCGTTTCTACACAGAATGTGAATATGCCTATCAACGAAAAAAACTTATTATTCCACTGCTTCTTCAAGCTAATTATAAACCTGAGTAAGTTAAACATAAATAAAAACTATTTCTAAATAAAATTATATATAGTGGTTGGCTTGGTATTATTGTTGGTAGTAAATTATATATAAATTATGCAAAAAAACCATTTGAAACAGCTTATGCAGAAACACGTACTGAATTACAAGCAGCTCTTAATCGAATAGAAAAAAAACCAACAGTGCCACCATCGAAAAAACGTATATTTGATTTTCTTAACCAATCATTATTTTTCTATTAAGAGTTCTTTTTTAGCTGCACCTCCACCTCAACCATCATCAACAATAAATGAAACAACAACGACAATATCAAATGCTCCTTCAGGTGCTTTAGTTCATTTATTATCACAATTTCGCATGGATAAAGCATCGGGACCAATGCCGATTTCATTAACAAATCTTGAAAAAATGTCAGTTACAGATACACAGCGTTTATTAGCTGACAATGGTTTAGAAAAGTAAAATTTGGAAATTTAAATAGTAAATTTTTATTTTGTCTTTGGTTTTTATTTATATCATTAGATTTATGTCGATTTTTTTGGATATTGATGGTATTAAACTAGTCAAGTTATTTGAAATTAAGAATAAAGTAAAATGATAAAGATTTTGTTGTTTTTTGTTTAGTTTTAATTAAAATATTTAATTAGGCACCCCAATGTTATTATATGTTAATCAAAGATCAATGGGATCAAATGAATCAAGCCAAAGAACAAAAGTATTTTCAATAGAATCATTTAAAATTCAACAAAAAGTATTGTTTTGTTTTCTTTTTTTTCTAGCCGAGATACAGCATCTCCCACTCGAATGTTAAAAACATCTACATCGATGGCTCAATTTCTTCAATTGACAGTTGCTCTTGATAAATTAGCTGATCGGATTTCAATGAATTAGTTAACTAATTAATCTCGAATCTTAGTCAAAAAATTGAACTCAGATACTATCTCTTTAAAATAATCAAATGAACTGCTTTAGTTTTCTTCTTTTTTTTTTCTATTTATCTTTATTTGTCGAACTGTGAACATGTTATTTATGTTGTTGTTTTGTTTTTGTATTTTAAGTTTAATGATTGTGTAATACGATATGATTTGAACGAATGACTAACATAAAATCTATTTTGATGTTGTCGTTATCATGAGATCAATGGTATAAGGATGTTTGTCAAATTGAGTAGCATTGACATATATTCAAAATATGTTTACCAAAGACCTTTGTCTGTTTAGAATGATTAGACATGCACGGAAACCGAACTCTGACTTACAAGTAAA